TATTTTATAATATTTTTTATTTAATAATTTATTTATCATTTGATATATATACATAACAAAAATATATAAAAAAACAATTTTTTATTAACTTTCAATAATTACAAATTTAACTAATGGGTTAAATTGAACTATAACTAAAAATATTAAAATTGCAAATAGGTCCTTAAACATAATCTAATTCTCAAAAAAAGGCCCAACCCCACATTTCAATTCCAGCTTTCATATTTGCACGAATCACTGTCTCCCACACCGGGGATGGAGAGGTTCGACCTGCAGGAGGCGGCGGACGTCCGGTGATGGCGTCGTTCGAAGATCTCTGCCCATATCTCCTCCCAAAGACAGGCGGATGAAGGTCGTCGGAGATGACTAGGGCAGTGACGGAGGTCTGTATTGAGATGAATCGAAGGTTAGAAGCCGTTGGAAGGTCGCCGGAGACGAACCGAGACGGCCGGAATTAGTCGGAGGCAAATCTCAGGAAGTGCGGCGACGGCGGCTATGGCGTGGCAGTTGCAGCGGCTATTATGATGGTCGACACTGTGTGCTCTGTGGGTGTGTGACCGCCGTCAGCGATGGTATGTGTGTGTGTGTCTCGCCGGCGGACTGTGTGTGCTCTGTGTGTGTGTGTTGTGTGTATTTATGTGTGTTTAATGTTCTGTGTGTGTTGTGTGTGTATCTCTCTGTGTGTGTGGTCAGTGTTTGTTGTGTGTGTATCTGTGTGTGTGTGTTTAATGGTCTGTGTGTGTGGCGTGCGTTTGTCTAATGGGTGAGTGTGTGAGAGAGAGAATAGGTACTGTGTGAGAGAGAGATTTAAGGTGGGTGACAGATTTAATGGGCGTGATTTGGGGAATAGGGGAATAGGAACTACTTTAATTTGGTGTGGGTCCCACTGATGTGCTGAATAATTGGTAGGGCGTAAATGTCCATAATACCCTTAATGAGGTATAATTTTGACTCTCTTTTTAGCCATCAGATCATCTGATCTAATGGCTACAAGTTATTCTCATTTCTTTCATTGAGAACCATTCTCATGTGAACCCAATCCTATATATAATAGTCAGGTGTATATATATATATATATATATATAATAGTCAGGTATATATATATATATATAAATATAATAATGTATATATATATAATTTAGGTATTAAGGGGCAAAATATTCATTTTTCTGAGTTTATGGCGAAAAATGGACAAAAAGTCGCTCCACACGCGCGTGAAATGCACATCCGTCAAGTTAGACGGTTTAGGGGATAACGCGCAATCAAAAGTATAATACAAGGGGGTATGCGCGCAATTTTTAAAATACAGGGGGATAACGCGCAAATTTCGTATAATACAGGGGGTTTGGCGCAATTTACCCTAATTATTTCAGAAGAAAAATGAGATGGGAAAATGTGGAGGGACATTGTGGGAAAAGGTGGGCCAGCAGTGTCTCCAGGGGCGAATCTACATTTATCAATAGGGAATCTACATTTATCAATAGGGGCAATTGTCCCACCTCAAATTTTAATTTTTGTACTATTAATGTTAAAATTTTTAATTCGCCCCTTCTTAAATTAATTTTTGCACCTCCAAATTTTTGTTTTTAAACATCACTCACAAGGCCAACAATTGTAATTATTAGGAAAAAAAATTTTTATGCATTTTGTTATCTTTTACAAATTATGTCATGTCTTTTGTCATCTCTCAACTATATTTCTGGTTTCGCCCCTGAGTGTCTCACGTGATTTTGGGCGTTCGTAACATAGGCACACATTTCCGATGCTGAAGATTTAAGTGAGTCTTTATTTTTTTAAAACAAAAAGTTTGAACAAATTCAGTTACACAAACCCAAAGCAATCTTTTCCGGACGGACAAAGCAAAGAGAGAATAATAGTGATATCCTCAATGATGA